GTTTCCATGCCGCTAGCGATAATACACGTATTCACCATAACCCTTGAACTACTAGTGGAATAAACACTTCATTGGCTAGAAACCTTTCACTTATCTCATTTCAGAAGAACCAATGCAACACACAACTGAATTCCCAAACCGCAAAAAAAATACAAACCTCAAGTCGTGATCTAAACCGCCATGACTTTTCTGGAATCCATTTATACTACAAGGCCATTTGAATCAAATACCTCCCAAATCAATCAAGTTGTGGTGGAGCTCAAGCCCACGCGTACAACCACAAACCATATGTATAACTTTACGCTGAAGGAACTGGTCACTGCCACAATCATGCTGATTCAACCATTACTAACCAACCCAACTTCTCCCAATTTATTCGCGACTTGCCTTAGAAATAATAACAGCTCAATTCAGAAACGTAGCGAACCAAATCCGCACTCGTCCTGAGTGAACCGCATCACTAGACCACATTGTCTCATTATTCATGAATCATCTCATATTCTCCTCATGCGCACAGTAGTATCTCCAACTGGTACACGCATTTTACAAGACCTTCTGCGAATCTGAAGCTATTTCCTCCTTTCCTCCAATATTCCGCTGCATACCCAATGATAACATAGAACCTTCCAAGTCCTTAGGCACTGCACTTAAATTCTTGAACCCACTAGGACCACTGTTGAGAGCCACCTACTCTGACTTGGTACCGAATGTAAGCCAAAATCTAGTGCGCTGTTAGCACGTAACATCCTATCAAAGAAGCATCCGACTGAATTCTTTTCCTTTTATATTACACCCACAAGAAGCATAAACTCTGAGTCTTCCCAAAACCCGAACATGTATCGATAAGGCCAAATATAGCACACATTCCTCAAATCCTTTGCTCGATTTACCACTGATATTTTATTTCCTTAGTCATAATAACCCACCAACACACCCTACCCAGAAACCGCACAAGCAGACAACCACGCAATCCAATCGTAGACGGTGGGGCTCCCTCACTTAGCTTGAAGCTATAATTATATAACCCTGAAACCCACCAAGATTCCTCCTTCCCACTTACCATGATCTCGCACAAGTAACCCGCCAAATTTCTTATAGTTTCTTGTTACACTTTTCATGAACATTTTGAATTATCAGCCATGATCGCCTGTTCGACGTCCCCCTGGATAGTAAGTAGAACTCTTCATAGAAACTTTATCAAAATCACGCAACTGCTAACCTGTTCACAGGAGATAACCTACCTGTGGAATTCCATGCTGACATCTTCCAACGGCGCTGCGCTGGGTACAACTACTACGAAATCAGTAGGCCCTCCTGAGCCCGTACTTATCCACCAGCTGTACAAGTCCGTTCATTTCCCATTGACATCAACCGAAAGTCCGACAATACATTCCACGCTCAAAGTCACATTGTATTCCCCTTCATTTCAAGCAAACTCCTTTCTGCCGTATTCAATGTTCCTCAGTGCAGTAGCCACCATTCCAAATACTATCTGTAGACCTAGTCAGTTCTCCACCATGATTCCCAAATTGCTCTAAACTTTCTTCAAACAAGTGGTTCCCTTCCAGAGAATCCATATGCTACTCTGCTACTCCCAATTCGGTTAAACCATCTTCTTTAAGTAACTGCTCGACCTCTGCTTTTCATACTTGACCTGCTAGTAATTCAACCACCGCGAGACACCTTCCACCATGTCCTTTCTCATCCTTCGCTACCCAAATGCTGCCATAAATCAAAATCCATCTCTGTAGCACCTGAACTAATAAATTGCTACCAACTCTAAACCTCCTAGAAGATCATCTTTCTCGAGCCATCAACATTAGAACACAGATTCTATCCTGAAACTGCTACACACCGCTATCTCTGACAACCGCTTCTCAGGCACCATTTCACAGCACCCTACCCCGTAGGCAAAGCAAAGAAGACCATAACACCAGCGAACCTTAATACATTTAAACAAGCACAACGATACCACATCACAGATGAAAATTCAACCACGCTCGAAAATACCAAGTCTCGTTACTCCATCAACCCAAACCTGAATATTCATAGTCCGATTGCCTTTCCATTTGCTGGAAATAAACGCTGAACCTCTAAATCATGCACTGAGAAATCCTTGTTTCAAGTCATTCACTACCTCGACACATAAACAAACACCCTACCATTACACTAACACCGTGCGATAACAACGCATGAACATCATAGCAATCTATGCACTGTCTCGAAACCATAAGGAATACACATATTGAGCTGGAACAAAAGAACATCCTTTCGCAATGCGACGATAATAGCCTGCCTGAACACGGAGGGAAAGACATCATGCACCACTGATGAGTGGTGATTTTACCATTTATTCTAGTCTCTTTTCTTTAGTTTTTGTGTCTTTTAATTATAAAATGAGGTGATTTATGGTGTGCATTGCAAGATTTTTAGGTAAATGATGCATGAAGAGAGTTGAATTCAATTGAAGTTGAATTGAGCAAAAACGAGTTAAAAAGTGCAAATTTCTTAAGTGGTTCCACATCTGCGCAACACTGCTCGCTTCTGCGAGCTCGCTTATGCGAGTGGAGGTCCGCATTTGGATATATCATCAATGTCCCACTGTGACCACATCTCCGGCTGACAATCCACATCTGAGGAGTAGGTAGTTCCCCAGAGTTTGTGCATCTGTGAAAGGAAGTCCGCTTTTGTGGAGCCGCACCTGCGATGATTTTTCCGCAGGTGCGGTCAACGGACTTCAGCTGAGGACAGTGTTGGCATTTCACATTTTCTCGATTTCAAACCCACAAATACACGACCTAGCTCATTTGTAAAATATCTTTTTTGGCTTATTTTGAGAAGAGAACACAAGTTTTGGGGCTAGGGTTCTTGCACACACACTTGGGTCTTGAAGATTTGAAGCTTTTGGTTGAGAATTTCTTACCCATTTATGTTCATTTCTTCATTTCCTTACTTTGTATTGTATATCTAGGTGTTTAGTATTTTTCCTAACGCTTGAATCTTGTTTATGGGAATATTCATATTTAAAGTGTGGATTAAATATCTTGTTGTGCTTATGTATTGAACGATTTTTATTTATTAAAAAGTGAGTTATTGTTACTTTAATTATTCTTGTTCATTAATATTTTCAAAGGGATTAGCTAACCCTAGGACTCGCCCATTAACTTCGAATTAATTTTGGGAAAGATAATTTGGGGTTGGGAAAGATTAATTAATAAGAACTTGAGGCTTTAACCCTTACTTTATAGATTCTACCTAGGGATGGGGTTGAACTACTTGTAGCCATATTAGGGTGTGCTTAATCTCGTAATTGTTTTAGGGATAATTCAATTAGGAAGTCTTATTAGTCTTTGGAAGAAGCTAATATAGAATTATTACCCAAGGCTAATTAGCATAAACTCGCTCATATCTGTAAAATCATGAAATACATTAGATCGTTACTTGAGTGTAATTCCCCGTGTATCCATGCTTGTAGCCATTGATCATTTTACTTGCTTTCTAGGTTAGTTTTTATTTTTGCATTTAGACATAAATATTTTTTCAAAACCTTTTTAAGTGTTTGGCTTAGCATAATAAGCGATAATTCTCTTACACGCCTAATAACGCCTAATCGCCTGCATATTGTTCTCTATGGGATTCAACCCCGACTCATAGTTGGAAAAATTATATTGCATGTGACCGTGTCCATTTAATTTTTAGTAGTGGATTTTGACGTCATCAAAATTGGCGTCGTTGCCGGGGAATACGGTTTAGAAATTACTAATTAGTGTGTGTTTTACTTTACGTCTTTTTCTATTCCATCACACTTTGCTTGCTTTGCTTGGTGTCACTAGGTAAACATGGGCGACCTGGAAGAAGAAAATATTTTTGCGGATATAGATGAATATATTGAGGATGCAAATGCCATTGTCCCTCCAATAGTTGATGCTGCCACCTTCAAGGTGGAACACAGTCTAATCCTAATGCTCAAGGTAGAGGGTTTTTTTTACGAAATTCCACAAATTATGATCCGACACAATATCTCAGAAATTTCTTGGGTGTGTGTGCGATGACAAGAAGAATCACGTTTCAGATGATGCCCTAAGGTTGAGGGTGTTCAAGTACTCTCTAACTGGAGAGGAAAGACAATAGATCCAAAATCTACCGCCTAATTCCATTCATACTTGGCCCGGACTTGTCCGAGCTTTCCTAGCAAAATGGTTCCCGCAGAGCAAGAAGTCTAAGCTCCGGGATAAAATTTTCTTTTTCAAGCAATTACCGGGAGAGCATCTACATGAGACATGGGATCGATTCAAGCTATATTTAGTGAGGTCGTCGAATCATGGTTTTCCGGATACTATCTTGTTGGAGAAATTTTACATGGCTTGGATCCTATGAATCAATCTACAGCCAAAAATGCAGCTGATAGATCCTTTATGGATAAAACATTTGCAAGGGTCACACAAATCCTTGACAAAATGGCAGGACATAACCAAGCTTGGCACTCAGAGGACACCACGGGTGGAATTGCATATGGTACTCCTCCCTTGACCAACATGCTTAAGGAGAACCAAGAAAGAGATCAAGTGATTGCCGGGCTTGCCACCAATATCAATGTGTTAACAAAGATATTCACTGAAAGCCAAACAAAAAAGGTGAATATGGTGGAAGATGTTCAACCCATGTCAAATGAGGATTACAAGGAAGCAAACTATGTCAAGAACTCTCAAGTAGGTTATCAAAGGCAACCCTACCAAGGTTCAGGACAACAAATGGAGGCCTAACCCACAAGGGCAAGGCAATCAACATTGGCGAAATGACCAAGGTAGTTCAAATCAAGGGAATTGGAGTAACAACAACAACAACTTTTCAAATAGGAGCTCAAACCCCTATGTTCCACCAAAGGGCAATATTCTAACTCTCCGCATTGGAAGGAAAGTTCTTCAAGTGAGTCCAAGTTGGAAAACATGCTTGAACGAGTATTGCAAAATCAAGAACGATCCGACACTTTAATGAATAATATGACCGAGCTTGTGGGTTCTCACACCGCGTCCATACAAAAGTTAGAATTGCAAATGAGAGATCTATCAAGAGAGCAAAATCTGAAGCAGAAGAGCATGCTCCCAAGTGACACAATAGTGAACCCAAAAGGTAGTGGGAGTGGTCCGACTTCTTATTGTAAGGCAATCACAACTCCAAGTGGGAAACTACTTCAAGGAGAGAATGAACAAGTGGTCGAAGTGGAAGATTCTGAACAAGAAGTTGGGGCACAAGTTGAGGTGCCAATTGTTGTTGAAGCCAAAAGACTCCCAAAGGAGGTGAAAATTCAAGAAGTGAACCGTGAAGAGGTTAAGGAAAAGGTGAAAGAGACACCAAAAACTCTAGCACCAATTCCTAAGCCTCCTCTTCCTTTCCCTCAAAGACTTGCTAGGAAGGTTGATGATAGCAAACTCGAGAAGTTCTATGACATTCTCAAGCAATTATCAGTGAACATTCCATTTGTGGAAGGATTTCAAGAGATGCGGGGTTTTGCTAAGTACTTGAAGGAGTTGATAACCAAAAAGAGAACCACCAAGAATGAAGTGGTGAATGTGACTCACCGGGTTAGTTCCATCATTGCAACAACCACCGTACAAAAGAAAGAGGACTTGGGAGCCTTCACTATTCCATGCACGATTGGCTTGCGCGATTTTGCACGAGCCCTTTGTGATAATGGGGCTAGCATTAACTTAATGCCTCTTGCTATTTACAAGAAAGCGGGGTTAGGTATGCCCAGGCCTACAAGTATGAGGTTGCAAATGGCCGACCGTTCAATAAAGAGACCGATGGGAGTTATTGATGATGTTCTTGTGAAAGTGGGGAAGTTCCTCCTCCCTACTGACTTTGTTATTCTCGACTGTGCTGTTGATAAAGAAATCCCTATTATCTTGGGGAGACCATTCCATGCTACCGAAAGAGCACTCATGGATTCGGACGAAATGAGATCAAGTTCCGAGTTAATGACGAAGAGGTTACCTTTCAAGCTAGTAAGAAACTTCCACATGCATACGAAAGTATCTCAGTCATTGATATTGTTGATGAGGTAGAGGATGCAGTCGAGGTGAAGATGGAAGAAGAATGCCTTGGTAAGGCATTGGCGGCTATTTTGGTAAATTTTGATGGTGAAGACATGGAAGGATACATGGAATCAGTGAATGCATTGGAAGGGCTTGGGTCCTACACTTAACGTCTGTAGTACCACTGCAACTTCTCGATACCCAATTGATAACAAGAACTTCACGTCGCGTAAGATTAAGTAGGAAGGAAATAAAGGCATAAGCCTCAAAGGAATCAAACCGCATGAAGAGGAATCAAGAAAGGAAGTGCTCCTAACATCCTTGTAGCCTCACGAAGATAAGTACAGACGTCTCCGTACCGATATGCAGGACTCTAATAAACTTGCTCATGACTCGTGAGACCTATGTGAACCTAACACTCTATCACCAAGTTGTCACGACCCAAAATCCAATATAGGCCGTGATGGCACCTAACGCCGCCATCTGGCTAGCCAACATTGATTTATCAATTTATTTACTCATTTTATTACTTTTGAAATCATAATCTGCATTAATTTAATGGTATAAAATATAATCTCCAGGGTAAAATAATAATAAATGCGCAATTACAATAACGAACAACCCGTAAGAACCCCAAAAACCCGGTGTCACGAGTGTATGAGCATTTTCTAAGGAGCACAACAATAATACAACATCTATCCAGAATGTAATTAAGACGGGATAACATAAATAGTACAATGAGGACTCTGTGGACTGCGATGCGTAGCCTGAATTGCAGCTCATATAAAGTCTCCTCAACAGATGCGCCTACGCGCCAAGATGATCACCAAATGACCTGTCAGATCCTGCTCATTTAGTGCATAAGTGCAGCATGAGTACGTAAATCAACACGTACCCAATAAGTATCTAGCCTAACCCCAGAGAAGTAGTGATGAGGGGTCGACATCGATACTTACTAGAGGTCCAATAAATAATATAATAATTCATAATCGATATAAAGTGCACAACAATAGTGGGGTAAATCTGTAAATTTTATAATCTTCCAATTATTTTTTTAAAGCTAAATTTCTCGATCTCGCATTCTACCTTTATATCTCAGAAAATGCCAAGTGTCAATACCAAATAAATAAGAAATACCATAAAGTGTCGGGGATGAGTTGGAAGATTAGCTCGTGAATATTCAGACTACTAGTGTAACGACCCTGCCGGTTGTTTTAAGAATTTACGCCTCGATCCCCTATTAACTGCATTCTCCGTGTTTGTTTCTGCTATTGTGAGTTGTTAGGAGGATTCGTTTTGAGTTTCGGAGTGTTTTGGGACACTTAGTCCCTAAATGAGAGCTTAAGCTTTAGAATTTGGACCGTAGTTAGAGCAGTGAGAAGACGGCCTCAGAATGGAATTCCGTTGACTCCGTTAGCTCCGTTGGGTGATTTCGGGCTTAGGGGCGTGTTCGGATTGTGTTTTGGAGGTCCATAGCTTAATTAGGCTTGAAATGCCGAAAGTCAAATTTTTGAAGTTTCTGGTTCGATAGTGAGATTTTGATATCGGGGTCGGAATGGAATTCTGGAAGTTGGAGTAGGTCCGTTGTGTCATTTGGGAGGTTTGTGCAAAATTTTAGGTCATTCGAACGAGGTTTGATAGACTTTTTGATCGAAAGCGGAAATTGGAAGTTTTGGAAGCCTTAGGCTTGAATCCGAGGATGTTTGATGATTCGATGTTATTTTGAGTGTTTCAAAGATCGGTACAAGTTTGAATAGTGGTATATGACTTGTTAGCATATTTGGTTGAGGTCCCGAGGGCCTTGGGTGAGTTTCGGGCGCTTAACGGAAGTTGAATTGGACTTAGGAAAATCTGAAGCTTTGCTGAACCTGTCATAATCGCACTTGCGTGTATGGGGACGCAGGTGCGGCACCGCAGAAGCGGTTAGGGGACCGCAGGTGCGGTCTGAGGCAATGTTGAAATTGGTCGCAGATGCGGCCCAGGTACCGCAATAGCGGCACCGCATCTGTGGGTAAGAGGTCGCATGTGCGGAAGTTGGGCTTTAATGAAAAGTCGCAGGTGCGGTCCCATGGTCGCAGAAGCGGATATCGCTGGTTAGAAAAAGGGAAGAACGAGGGTTTGAACTCAAAACTTGGAAAAACGATTTGGAGCTCGGTTGAGGGCGATTTCTTGTCATGATCCGGATTTCCCACCCTCGGGAGTCGTGATGGCGCCTACTAATGAGAGCTAGGCAAGCCAACCCTTAATTACCTTTACCATTAACCAATTTACCTCCTTTAGCAATTATCGGCAATAATATAAAAGCAACAAAATTAAATAATAAGCGGAAGTCTTAAATTATAGAAAACTGAATAGAAATGCGGAAAATTCAACATAAGCCTCTACCCAAGACTGGTGTCACAATACTCACGAACTACTAAGAATACTAAATACAATCGTCTGAAAGAGAACATAAACTGTTTGTCTCGAATACAATGAGATAACAGACTAAAATAAAGGATAGAGGAGACGTCGGGCCTGCGGACGCCACCAGGGCTACCTCGATGTCTCGCTGGACTGAAGGCCTGCTCCCACAATACTGCTGCTGCTGTCCGAAACCTGGATCTGTGCAAAATAGCACAGAGTGTAGTATCAGCACAACCGGCCCCATGTGCTGGTAAGTACCTAGCCTAACCCCGGCGAAGTAGTGACGAGGCTAGACCGGACTACCACATAAACCTATGCAGTTATATATACATATACAGCAGAATCGAAATACAAAGACAAGAAATCAATATGGGAAGGGGGGAGCATGCTAAGGGGAAATAACAATTTCAAGTAAAAGTCGTCCAGCAACGAAGGAATTTACACAACTCAGACATTAATAAAGAGACAGAAAGCAACAAGTGCACGGCATCACCCTTCGTGCTTTTACTCTCATCCTCACCAAGCAATGATATAATAAAATGTGCACGGCATCACCCTTCGTGCTTTTACTCTCTTTCCTCACATATAATCAATAGAATCGGCACAGAATGGTACATCGTGCGGCACGGCATCACCCTTCGTGCTTTACTCTCTTTCCTCACCATAATCAAACAATTGCACGGCATCACCCTTCGTGCTTTACACTTTTTCCTCACAATAAACAAACAATGCACGGCATCACCCTTCGTGCTTTAACACTCTTCCTCACCCAAACAACAATCACAAACAAGGGGGCAAGGGAATGAACAAAATTAAACAATTAAATCCCGGCAAGGGTACAACATCAATAATTTCAACGTCCCGGCAAGGGAAAATAATCAATAAACAATAACATCCCGGCAAGAGAACAATTTAAATACTCTTTCTCTTCCTTTCACTTTTATTTCATATCTCACTTTACCACTTGAGCCAATGCTCCAAAGGGTTCAACCATTTCATAGATATTCACAATTGAAATATAACTTGAGCCAGTGCTCCTCGTTGTTCATAGGTCACAATTTTCTTTCACAAGCTTTTCACAACAAATAGGAATCATCACTAAGGCAAGGGAAATACAACGAAATCAAGATATTCACAATTTAAAGACCCACGGTCATGCTAGAAACCAATGTATAGATACTCGTCTCCATGCCTATACGCCGTACTCAACAAGAAGCAATTAGCAAATAAGATTCAACTCCTAGTCCCTCAAGCTAGGGTTAAACCAAACACTTACCTCAACTTCCACGGCCAAATCAATCCACAACAACCGCTTTCCCTCTCGAATTCGGCTCCAACTTAATCAAATCTATACAATAATGACTTC